CCAAATTTCTCTGCTTTTCTTGTTATTAAACCTAACTCTGAGTGTTTTCCCCTATTTGTCAACAACCCTGAGAGTTCAGGCATCTGGAACTCTGCAGAGCTGTCACAGACAGTGAATGCAATGTCTCAGTTGTGAATGCAGTATTATTTATACCAAACTTTCACAGAATCACAGAATCTTAGGGGTTGAAAGAGTCCTCGAAAGATCGTCTAGTCCAACCCCCCTGCCAGAGCAGGATCACCCAGAGCACATCACACAGGAACGTGTCCAGGCGGGTTTTAAATGTCTCCAGTGAAGAAGACTCCACAACCTCTCCAGGCAGCCTGTTCCAGTGCACTGTCATTCTCATAGTGAAGAAGTTTTTTTTTTATGTTTATGTGGAACCTCCTATGTTCCAGTTGGCACCCATTGCCCCTTGTTCTATCACTGGACATCACTGAAAAAAGCCTGGCTCCATCCTCCTGACACTCGCCCTCAACATATTTGTAAACATTGATGAGGTCGCCCCTCAGTCTCCTTTTCTCCAAGCTAAAGAGACCCAGCTCCCTCAGCCTTTCCTCATAAGGGAGACATTCCACTCCCTTAATCATCTTTGTGGCTCTGCGCTGGACTCTTTCAAGCAGTTCCCTGTCCTTCTTGAACTGAGGGGCCCAGAACTGGACACAATATTCCACATGTGGCCTCACCACAGCAGAAGAGAGGGGGAGGAAACCTCTTTTGACCGACTAACCACCCCCTTTCTAATGCACCCCAGGATGCCATTGGCCTTCTTGGCTACAAGGGTACACTGCTGGCTCATGGTCATCCTCCTGTCCACCAGGACCCCCAGGTCCCTTTCTCCTGCACTGCTCTCCAGTAGGTCAGCCCCCAACCTGTACTGGTCCATGGGGTTGTTCTTCCCCAGGTGCAAGACTCTACACTTGCCCTTGCTGAATTTAATCAAGTTTCTCCCCACCCAACTCTCCAGCCTTATCATCAAGAAGATTTGCAATTACTCTGTTTCATTGTCAAAGTCACAAATGAATACATAGAAATGACCTGTATTGAGGACAAGTTATGATTTGACAGAGGACTATCAATTATTAACCTGAGAGAAATTTATATTATTGTCATCTGGGCTATGTTCCTCTGTTATAACAGTGTTATACAGGGCAATGTCAAAAGGCATACTAGAGTTAAGATATGTTATATCCACTATCTACTCTACATTTACAGGGCCATTTAACTCATCAAAGAAGGAAATTGCACTGTGCTGATGGATTTATGATTTTGTTCTGTGTTACACACCTAATAATTTGTTTAGTAGCTTGTTTTGTTGTCTGTCTGGACACCTGTAGTTTCTGAACTTCACCTTTTTGCCATCTTAAAATAGAGATTTGATTAGCCTCCAAGGTCTGTCTTGAATGAATTCCTGAAGATAATCATTAGCAGTTACAGGGTTTACCAGGGCGGGTTCCCTTGAGACTCTCTAAGGTAAATTTCAACAGGGTCTTCTGACATGAATGTATTAAACTTAACAAATGTCTTGTAGTTAGTTCTTTTCATTTTTTGGATTATATTCCTAAGGATGCATTTGTCATCTTGTTTCTGAGTCTCAGTGTTTGTTTAAAGGGCCAGGTCGTCCCTTGCATACAGGTTCACTGCAGGAAAGCCTTCCAAGTACTGAGTGAGCCATGTGTAACTTCAGTTGTAGTCAACCTGAAATAGGGTCTTTGGGGGATATATGATCTGTTCTGTTCGATTTTCATTTTGAAATAAACTTAAGTCTTTAGCTTCCACAATTGGAAAAAAAACCCCACAAACCAAAACAAAACACCAAAAAAACACTTTAAAAAGAGTTAATGCAAAAATTCATGAGCCTTTGAAGTAACTGGAAATACGAAGTGAACCATCCTATGTGTGTTGACCAAGGCAATCACTAAGGAGTGGTGTACAAAAGCTGAGAGCTGGGGGAGAAGGGCCCAGAGAGAGCCCTCCTGGGCATGCTTAGACCAGTTTCTGTATTTAGCAGAGTGCATACAGAAAAAAATTAGATGGAAGATGACTCTTGGCAAAATGGAAATTTTATTAGACATGTCTGTTTTCTATTAAGTAGCTGAGTGTTTTGGGTTTTGTTCTTTTGAGAGGAGGAAGGGGGCAGTTGTGCAGTTTGTCAGTGGAAACACTTTCTTTCAAGTTCAGATATTTTTTCATATTTTTTTTAACCTATAATAAATTTGCTATTTGTTTTATCACGCTTTTTTTTAGTGAAAAATTTCAGCAATAAGTAATAATTTGACTGACTGACTTCTCTAGACTTGCAATTTCGGATTCCACCCTTCTCATGCTTAGTCTTCTGCTTGCGGTGCTTGCCAAGGTATAGCTTCACCTGCTTTGAGGTAGCCGTTAGGATGACTGTGCCACGGTTATCCGGCTGCAGTCAGTGTCAGGGCTCCACGCCATGGCATCTGGAAGCTCTGCTTTTGTCCATGGTGAAGTACAGAGCATTGCTTTCTTTAGCAGAGGAAATTAAGAGGAGGAAATTGTTGTCAAATGGGAGTGTAGCAGGTTAAGCCTCAGTCTGTTGTTAGGAACTCAGACTGACCCAGGCTTGGCAATCTATTCAGAGAAGACATTGCAGTCAAAGATTTGCTTTCCTGGTCTCAGGGTTTTACGATTCTCTGTATTTCCTGAGTTACTTTGTAGAATTTTTTCCATAATTTGCGACATGTCAGTTTAGAATATTGATTTGGCTTCTGGCCAGCAGGGTCTCAGTATTTGTAGCTTCATGTTTTAAAACGAACCAAGCATATAAACAATGTATTTCTTAAATTACTGTGTGCTCACAGATGTGCAGGTGTATCTGCCTTCATTCTGCTCTAGTTTCAAAATGAATAGTTCAATGATAATGTGCTTTTTCAAAACAGAAAATCGGAGGGCTCTTTCTCCTTCGTTTTTCAGACCTCAGTAGCATTCTGAAATGCATTCTTCTTTGATGGTACAGTAGTTGATGCCTGAAGGAGATTAAATACTGTTTACATATTAATGAGACATTGCCCTCGGGAGTCTTTAAGCAGGTAGGGTTACGCTTTTTTTTTTTTTTTTTTTTTTTAAAGGAGCTTTCTGGCTACTTCCTACTGATCCCTTTCCTAACCTGTACCTATCAGTGGCTGAATTGTGGTGATATTGGTAGTAGGAAAGGGTAGTAGTTGTACTTCCAAGCGTGTCTTCCAGATCTCATAGCAGCCCACCAGTTTTCACTACAATTGCTAACTTAGCATGACATATGAAATATCTTGTTGTTCTGCTTTTTTTCTTTTGCCTGTGTTTTTTTTTTTTAAATTTTATTTTATTTGTGGAAGTTCAGACCCAGTGTCTTAGCCAGAATATGAACAACAAGCAGATTTTTAAGTGTAAAGGATTAAGGACTGATCTACTAAGCTAGAAATGTTTTGATTTATAAAAAATAATTGTATTCTTTCTCCCAAATTATTTTGTCTTTCCTATCTAAAAATTGTAAAGAGAAAAAGGAGATAAAACAGTAGGTGGGTTCTAGGGTTATGTATTACTGTACTGATTATTCCAAATTCTTGTTTCATTTCCCTGAAGGCTTGTACTGATCAGTTTTTAGATTGAGAAGGGTAAAAAATATTAGGGAGGGGACACTCCCACCTGATAAATTAATGTGAATTTGTAATTTATAAATTAATAGGAACAATAGAACAAAGATCTACCTGGGAACTTTCTCCATGCTAATTCTTTCTTAAGAAAGAAATCTCATTCTTCATTGTTAATATTGTGAATATTGGAAAAAAATCAGAATAATAAGACAAACGTAATAGTGTTGAGTAGTTATGGCAGAATTTATTTACTATTAGTAAGTTAACAGGTATGTTGGTTCTTCACTCTCTTCTATACTGTTGCTTTTTTGGGGGAACAGGTAATGGCTGTATCATTAATTTAGAAAGGCACTTTCAGAGGGAGATAGAGGTAGGAAAAGGGTATTCTTGTAAGCTGTTTGGCTTAGGAGCTTTTTTTTTTTCTCCACACAAGGAAATGGTGTTCTGTTTCTTGTGGAATTCCTTAACCAATTTCAATGCAAAGCAGTAATAGCAATGTCAAGAATGATCTGTTTTATCTGTGCCTCTGAGTCTGAAGTCATCCTGTGGATAACTTCAGCATGGTTTGCCAGAGTGACCATGGTATTGTGTTTATCCTATGCAGATTTTCATGCAGATACATTCTTGGCTCATAGCTGAGTTGTTGGCCTGGAGAAAGAGTTGATTGCTTTTCATCCTTAACCTTAGTCTTTGATTTGCCTAGTTTTGCTATTTCTTTTAGATCAGCTCCCATTTCCAGGAAAAATTTTTTAAAAAACCAAAACAAAACACAAAAAACGAACAAACAAAAAAAACACAACACACAAAAACCTACAACAAAACCACTATGTCCTATTTAGTGTTTGGCAAATACTTCTTGTCCAAGCCTATTTATTCTAAAACTGTAGTAAATGTGCTTCCCAATACAGTATTGTTGAAATGCAGCAACTGTGACAGTGATCACAGTTTTGCAGAACACTGCCCATCAGTGTGGAGGAGAGCATTTTAACCTAAAGGACCTGGGCACTGCTCTTGAGAACAGGGCCAGGAACTTCTTGTGACACAGATAGCGACTCAGGGACTTCTCATCCTGAAGTCTCTATTACAGTATTATGTACAATCTCTGCATAAATTTCTGTTGCATTAGTTCTTCTGGAAAAGCTTTATCTTTTCAACTCACATGGAACTGCTAAGCCTTTCTTTTGGTGAGTGGTCAGATAACCAGATCACCAGAAGACCCCTGTGTTCAGTTTACTGTGCTTGCGCTGGAAACTGCTAGAGAGTAATGCCTGATGCCATTTTGTGCTGTGGTTATCACAGCAGATTCAGTTGCCTAACATTGGTGCTGATAAGCATGTTAATGTAACTTTCCAAGGAGCTCAAGTAACTCCTAATGAAGCTTTCTCTCTTTTCCCCTTGCAGGTGGTTAGTCGAGTGGCAGCTCAGCAAGGATTTGACTTGGATCTTGGATACCGGCTACTTGCAGTATGTGCAGCCAACAGAGACAAATTCACTCCCAAATCAGCTGGTAGGATTTTTTTTTTTTGTGTGTACTACTGATTCTTGGATGGTCCTATTCTGAATTAATGCTACCTGAGACTGTCTTGCATTCTGTAAAAAACAATCAAAACATATTTGGTGGTAATAGTGCTGCTGCTTTTAGCATGTCAATGTGCTGTTCTGACTTTGGAAATCTGTATTTTCCCCAACTAGTGCTGTTCATTGCCCTGTTTGATCTCATAGATGAAATGGAACTTCCAGAAGCACTGTTGTTCAGTAGTTTCACAATGAGAATGAACAGACTCAGGCCCCTCCATCTTGGTAAACCATTGATTTCCCCTCATGTGTGAACTTCTAAATCTTTCGCCTTCATTCTGCGCTCCCTGACATATCTATTTCCAAACTTCCATTCCTGAACTGCCTATGTCTGTACAAAGAAATATCATGGTTGCTCGTACATCTAGTCATTAGCTTCAGAATTTTGAGACAAGAGTAGGTGGCAATGCTATTAGTCTAGTATTAAATTGCCATTTTTCCAATATTTTATGGTCATAATATGTTATAGGGCTCTGATTGAGTAGTAGTATTTGATAATGATGTGTTGCTGTTACTTCTTTGTATAGTAAGAGTAGAAAATGCACTTTGAGGTCTATCTGCTTCTCACATGTTTGATTTGACTGGAGCATTTAATTCTGGTTCTCCTTTTCTTAGCTGATGAATGTCAACATAATGTGCACTGGCTTGGAAAACAGGCAGATAACTGTTCCATTCCAGACTGAGCATGGATAACTTTTCTGCTTTGTACTAAACTGGTATGCAGTCCCTGTTTTAGGACATCAGAAAAGCTTACCTTCTTCCAAACCAGTAATTTGTAGTCAACTGATTTGGTGTTAACATTTCTTTTCATGTTCCTTTTCAGTTTTTATCAGCCTCAAACTTCTTTATTCATGGTTACCTTTTGTCCTAAGTCCTCTAAGCAGTTCCTCCTGCAAAAGCAGCTTTCACATCTGGGCATATTCACTGGACTTATCTTTTGTATGGGAAAGGATAATTAGTTTAGTAAATGTTGAATAAAATGTTGGATTTTCATCTGGGAAAACTGTGTGGAAGATAAAGCATTCAGTTGACCAGGCGCGATTTCCCTTTTTTCTGAATTTGTTACGTTTCTCCAATAGTTGACTATCACATTTCTTCCTCTTTGATTTTTTGAAAAAGCTTGTCAAATGAGAATTCCAGCTATGAGTGCATTAAGTGAGACATGAAAACTTGATTTCCTTTGAAAATATACCTACTAAAAGCAGTCATGCCCCCTCTCTCTCCAGTTCTTCCTGAGGTGTGTCTCTAGCAGTGTGCTAGTGAAGGTGAGGTTGTGAATCTTTAGATCTTTTCACACTTGCAGCCCTTTTCCTTTAGAGCTTGGATGAGGTGATAGTCTTGAAAACCGCTGCTCAGTCATCACATCCTAGAAAAGCCCAGTGTCAGGGTTTGATTTCTACCAGTAATTACTTTTTGGGAATATATACTTTTTTTTCCACAACTCATGATTGTAGCAATCTGTACAGATTTAAGTCTTTCCATTGTTAATTGATAAAAAACTGCAAAAGCTGGTAATGAAATAATCTGCTGTTCTCTCATCGTATTCTAAAGCCTTTTAAGTCTGTTGCTTTTCTTCCTATTTCCCAGTTGCATATACAACTAAATTTTTTCCAATTTTCTTAAATATCTGATTTCACAGCTACTTGAGTTTTACCGTGTATACAGTTATTTCACCAGTTTTTCCAGGGATTTCATCATGTCCAACCACATTGCGGTTTTTCATGCTCTTATTGTCTCTGATTTTGGGGTATACCATCACGCATTTTCTGAGATTTCACACATAGCCCTTGTTCTAAGGATATCACATTCTTGAAAGCTGCCTCTCATCATTTGCTTAAGTTGTTGTAAAGGGTGTTTACATGTTGTTTTGAGTAACTCCTTTTGTCTGTTTCATCTATAGAAAAAGACCTTAAGCACTTTCCTACAGAAGTTCCCTGATTTAGATACCAAATGGCATTTTAAAAAATGAATAAGCATTTGGTTTTCCCTCCCTCCAAGCTTAGGGGGAATTTACAATGGTTTTAATTAATTCCTCCAAGTATGAATTTAATGCTGCCAAAGGGATCACTTTGGAAACATTTTTAATCGATATTGTTTAGTCTCTGAGTCTCTGACATTCTGAAATGTAAGGAGAAGAAAACCTTCTCTAATTAAAACACATTTGAGTAGGTGAACGGTGGGGAAAATATTTGCACCAAATCCTTTCAAGGGCCATCTACTATTAATAATACCTCATTACAGCTTAGGACAAGGTTTGTTGACTGATGTCCTGAAGGCTGGGTGGCTGGCAGGCTTTGCAGCTCTGCTTTGTGGAGCAGGTGGATCATCCTAGCTTCATGTCCCTCAGGTCTGCTTGTTTGCAGAGGCAGCTGAACCTGTGCAACTGGTAGTCCTGCTTCTGTTCTCTGGTGATTCCCAGTCTGAGCTTCCTCAGGGACCTGTGTTGGCAGAAGAGCTTTTGCTGGTATGGCTTTCTGTTTAACTGGTGCTCTGCATGGCCCCAGGAGGGTGAGGATCCCTGTGGCAGTGCCTGAGGGTTTTGGTTATGCCCAATTGAAAAGTGCTGAAGCCTGAGGCAAGAGGGCAGAGCAGCCAGCTGCCTGACTGGCTCAACTCTGCGGGTTCCCCACACCCCTGGCTCATGCAATTTGCCCCATGCTGTTTCATCCTAGTTGGTTTAAATAATGTTGGTGGTAACTCTCTGCTAAGCTGAAGAGGTTGAAGAGTGATGACAGAGTAGTAGATGACAGATCAGAGTGCAGACAAGCATAGGGGGAAGCAAGGAGAGTTGAGAGGCTGGAGCTGAGGAGGAACAGCCTCACCTAGGGGAAGGCAGCTCCTTAGCATTTCCCATCCAGTACCATTTAGTGTTGCTGAAACAGATGTTCTGCTTTGTCGTCTTGTGCTACTTGGCTATTGAGATAATTAACAATTAGCTAATACAAATTATTTTGGGGACTGCCTTGGGGGCGAAGACCTGTGTGGCATGATGATTATTGCTAATGATGTTTGTACCTGAAATAGTAGCTGTGCTTCCTTTTACTTTTCTAGCCTGTGCTGCTCTATCTGGTCTGCAGCCTCAACAGGAGGTCAAATACAGCATTTCCTACACTTAAGACAAATGACAAAGCCTTCAAAATACACGTGTCTCTTTTGATGATGGCTGCTCCCCAAATCTTCCATAGCAAATTCCTTTTTCATGTTGTGACACCTATAGGGAATGGCCAAGCAGGTTAGCTGCCTGCTCATTTGCTTTCAAATTGCAGCAATCTTAATGGCTCTTAGGATGTGAGCACATGGGTGTTCCATTTTTCTTCATCAAGCCTAAAGAAGACCTTCTTTCTGAAGAGTGCTTGCTTGGACATTTTCTAAGCATGCTATCTGCTGCTTTTGTCCTTCCTGTAGATTTCAAGTTATTTGGTACCTTTATTTTTAGGGTTTGTTATTCAAGTAAAATGGAGCTCACTGATCAGAGTGTTTAATTAAAAAAAAAAAAAAAATTGATTTTTTTTTTCAATCGAGCTACTGAACTGTACTGCTCTTGTAGCTACTTTTGCTTTTGTCAGGAGGCCAAGCTCAGGCCAGACAAGGGGACGACAGGATGAGATCATACAGGGAGCTTTGTCAGAAAAAAAGGACACTGTTCAGTATCTTTGTAAAGAGAGAGAGAGGAAGGAGCCTGAGGGCAGAAATGTGCAGAAAAGGTACTTTAGCAATCACTGAGAAGCTACAGCAAACAAATGCTGTGATAGCTTGGATGGGTAGCTCGCGTTAGATGTTTGATAGCAGAGATAACAACCCCTTTTTGATATTGCTTTGTTTTTGGTCCCCTAGGCTCCATCTGGTGTGCTTTTTTTGACTTTTTGAGGACAGCATTGCTTAATAATCTTAATTTTATATGAAGCACAAGCAAAAACTTTACTATATTTGAGCATTTTTACATTGTTTTGTTTGTTTCTTTAGCTTTGATAATTGTGATATAATATAACTGTAAAATAATAGGGTTGTTCTTAGTGGATCCGATTCCAAAGCTGTGAATAAATTAGACCCTGAGTTAATAAAGAGAGTTACATTGAGAGTGCTGGAAAATGGTGGTTTTAAAACATCGCTGGACAAGACTCTGAGACCTAAGGCATGTCCTGATTAGGGTATAGCATCTAACATGTTTTGCTGCCTTGTTTCAGAAGTATGGATTGTGCAAAGTGTACACTGGTGTATTATCAAATCAAACTTGCAGAAATGTAAGAAGAAAGGAGGCTGCAATATGAAGTAGTAAAAGGTAGAAAGTAAAGATAACCTCTAGATTATGGGGGGACAGTACGGCTGGGTGAACATTTTGCCTAATTTTCCAGTAATGTTCACATTATCTGCTGAGGCAAGGAGACCGAAAGGATTACAACTATAGAATGGAAATTACTACCACCAGGGCTGATGACATCCCTCCAGCTTGAAGGGCCTGAATGATCAACATGCCTGCGTTTGGAAACAAATACCATAGGAATTGTCAGTCTCATGCCTCACACCAAAGATTTTGAGCAAATCAGTCAAGTCAAAGTAGTCTCACATTACTGTAGAAGAAATACAAATGCTGTACCTGTACTTAGGAAAGTGGCTGATAAGAAGAACAAGTAGGCAGGTTTATGAGGGCAAAGTTAGAAGAATTTGGTTCATTAAATGAAAGCTGAATGGACTTCGGAAATGTATGTAAACACTAACAAATAAGCAACTTAGAATGAGAAGAGCTCGAAAACATATGGGTGTGAATTAAATAAATTATTGAAATAAGGGGGAAATCCCAAACTATTAGGATTGTTGCACTTTGAGTAGGTTTTCAGTTAGAATGACAGCAGAGAGAGAGGAAGCAGAGGAAAAGAAAATGGAAAAATCAAACTGCCTTTTAAGAGATAAAACTCAAACATAGGAAACTGACTG